TCTGATTCGTCAGGCGGTCTCCCAGGGTCACTAGCGGATCCAGGATTTAATTTTGGGGGGGCTTTCGCCCGGAAGCTTTTTTTTCATAAAAATTACGATAGTTACTTTGGAAAAACAGAAAGAAACTAACTACCTATATGAAATGGTGTTTAAGTGATTCCTTAAGTCCTTTTAAATGTAATTAACCGAACAATAATACTTTAAGAGGTATTTAAACAAAAAAGTTTCCATAAAACATGGTTATGTTTTACCATTTTGGGGGGGGGCTTCAGCCCGAAAGCCCCCCCCCCGTAGATCCGCCCGTGCCCAGGGTTTGGTATGGTTCTTCCAAACTTAAGATGCCTCAATCCTCCTGTTGTTTTTCTTACACTAATTCTTTGTAGTCCGAGTAGTTTTGTTCTATCATTGGCTAAGCGTACACGTTCTCCATGAGGACGTAGAGACCAGTAAATGTATTGAATTTCTTAATTATTTAGTATGCAAGTAATTAATCCTCGGTGCCTTGAAGCCGGTGCCTTTCAAAGGACAGAGAGGATCTACATCCTTTCCATGAACATGAAGCTTGCCACGAAGGTCCCCATGAAATTTTAAATAGTTCAGGAGGACCCATTTTGCTTCAAAATGCGTCTAGATGGCAGATAAATACTTTCTTAGGAACCCGTTGTGGTTGTCACATACCACTCATTGATAATATATTCCCAAATTATCTTATTCCATCTTCCCTGTACGATCCTGTATATTTTACTTGCTAAACCTTACGTTTTAAACATCTTCTTTGATGATTCTTCCTGGAGGACGAGGTCAAGAAGTACCTCTCTTGCTAAGAATTGCACCATGAGTTATGGCAGAAATACCTCAACTTACTCAATATTATCCCATTTTAAGTGGCCATTGTTGCTAGAAATCTGAAGCCCCAAGAAGCCACTTCTAGGCGAATCAAGTATTGGGCCACCCTATTTCTCAAGTAGTCCAAATGAGGGGTCTCATCAAAATATTTTCTGTATATATACTATGCCATGTTAAGTAACTACCCCACTTGGACGGATTCTTGTACCTTCGAGGGCGAGTCTTTGCAGCTGCTAATTGAACTATCTAATGATCCAAGAAGAAAATGAACAATTGGTTAACCAAAGAGGTGCCTAACTATTATCCTCCAAGATTACAATAGTATTATTCCAAGCATCGTTGAAGACTTGATTACTACCTCAAATCCAATTCTATCCTCCTACAATATACAATATGAAATGAAATTAAATGAAAAAATATTTTATTATTATATGCATTCTCAAGCAACACTAAACAGACAACATTAATAAAAATAATCATCCTTAATTTTCAATTGTGTGTGACTCATCTCTAGTATTAAATCTACAATCACCTATTATTTAATTAAAGTTTACATACATAAAAATAATACGGCTATTATTATATAAGTTGAAATGATTTTTCGGATGATAAATGTCCAATACTTTCGTAACAGAGGTTCCCATTTTGGTTTAAATTTGTCTAGATATCTAAATTTTGAGATTGAACTGCTGGCTAATATGACTGCTAACTAGAATGCTTTATTATTGAATTATTATTTAATCTGATACAAAATTAAATTTAGCTTTCTGATATAATGTTATCTGATATAATATGAGTCCTATTTTCATGTTTTTGGTTATGCGAATTTGAAAGTGTTAATAAATTTCATATAAACACTTATGATTTGTTCTAAAGCTGCTACTCAAAATTTGCTTTTAGAACTGTAAAAGAGATGAAAAAAAATCTTCTGCGATATAATATCCCATGGGAGGTTAGAAAGACACTCTGAGTTTCTATTTAAAGTAGTAAATATAACGATGGTCAACTCCACAGAGGTTTGTAGCAGTTTAACTGAGGTCTATAATCTATTGGAAAATATCTAGTAGATCTACACCAATGAGTATTAAAGATTTAAGAACATCTGTTAATTTTAGGAAATGGAAAAAAATCTATTTTTCTTTCATAGACCCAACTTAAACTGTTTCTCATTAATTTATTTAAGAATGTTCCAGTTGAATTATGAAAAAAAATATATTAGAATTAGCTCAAATTGAAACTATGATACAAAGCATTTTTCTCATTTTTTTTTAAATTACAGATGATTTTAGTGTATATTAAATAAATGTATTATAACATGTATATATTTTAAGAAATGTTTAAAAATAATGTTTTAATAGGACTAATGTTTTCTTTTTTTTTAAGGAAAAATGATTTTTTAAAAATGCCTCTTGAAGCCGAAACGTTAAAAAAATGATAATTTTTAAGTGTTTGTAAAAATATTGTAAATGTATATGACTGTAAGATTAAAAATGGTTTTCATAAATAAATAATCATATATAGATTAAATATAGTAATTTTAAAAAATATCACAAAAAAATATGAATAGCCTAAATAAGGTTGTTTATCATATATTTATGTGTATGTATATATATTTACCATCGGCATTCGTTAACTATTACATGAATGGGTAGTTATAATGTCACTAATAATAATGCCTCTATGAATATTTAGTAATAACAACGCTATTTATAATTGTCATGGTAATCAGGAAAAATATATTCAAAGCATTTCTAAATAAATATTTAATTCAGAATTCACATATTTAAAAATATACATAAATAAATAAACCTATTTTTTTAAATGTAACATATATAATACATCGTGCACAGTTTGTTATTATGAGGAAATAATTTATCACAATCTACACAAACTAAAGTGTTATTTTGTACAAAAACTATTTACACTATTCAAGTTTGTGCCTAAAAGCGCTAAAAATATTATCACAAATGTAAGATATAATAATTAAAAAATAAATTCAGAAAGAAATATCACACTCTGAACCTTTGGACAATTTTAATTTAGCCTTAATTATATTTGATGTACAGGTCTTTCTTATTTGAGATTCACCTTCATCATATAACATCAGCACAGTTTATTTTTCTAAACTAAGACACATTTTATTACGCATCTAAAAAACTTAATAACAATTTATAATAACATGTATCACAGCCTTCTCAAAAGCAAATCATTATGTTTTTTATTAAATTTAAATTTATATACAAATATCCGAGATCATTAACATCCATGTTAAATACTGTTGTGCAAGAATATTTAACAAAGTGTTTTTATATTACATTGTTTTTTTCCGTTAATATATACATATACGAAATCAATTAATAAATTTATAATTTTCTACTTAGACATAGTTTAAATCACTGAAGAATAATACAGAAGTCTTAATTCATAAAAATCTTGAAACTTATAATAATGAATATTTATTTGGTCCATAAGCTTTGGGATACATCCCTTGTTAGCATTTATCAGTTTTATAGTTTGTTTCTTAAATATATTCAGTCAAATCAATTTTTTTTTTTAATAGAAAACGAAATTAGGTCCTTGCATGCAAATAATACATCTAATATTAACATCAAGATTTACTTCTAAATTACATACTGACACTTATATCTTAATTTTTATCATGTAAAAACGAAAAAGTATTTTGTCCAACTATTTTGTCATTGGTTATTTATATTATTTAATTACTATTGTTAATAGTTTATGATAATGATTTACCAACATCATGGATTTATCTGATCATGAACTAATTTTACGTTTAATTATTAAAACTATCGAACTGTCATGACAAAATTCATAAAAATTAATAAAAACAATATTAAAAAATCTTTTTTAGCGGAAGATTTCGGAACTAGTTTTGAGTCATTTCGAAAAAGTAAATGTCTGTATTACAAAATTAGATAGAATCATACGGCAGAATTATTTTAGTTTTCAGCAGTACGTCATATTAAAACCTAATTGAACACAGATATACTAAATTTATTTATTAATGAATAAATATGCAATAAGGAGCCAATTGTCAATTTTGTTTTATAAGCTAAATTGTAAATTTTTTTTAAAAGAATTTTTATTCTATATATTTAGAAGGAGCCACAATTTCTGTTGAAAATTTTAAGTGCTTGGAAAAATGATAGATATTGTTTGTAAAAAATTATATCTATCACGTAGTTCTCGGTTGGTTCCTAGTTTCATATTTGAATTCAATCAATTTTTTTATTTTTATATGCAGTTTCATAAACACTAATAATATTGAAAATATCATGTGAGCCGTTTATTTCCAAAGTGAACTCTGAGTATTAACAATTTTTTAGGTAAACTATATTTTCTATTACATTTGTAATATCCAAAACCAATATTTTGAAAAAATAAATCAAAAAATTTTTTAGTTGTAGAAAATATGTTCGAGAATGATTGATTATTTCAAGCATTATTACAAAATTAAACAGGGTCCCTTTTGGAAAAAATGGAACTTCATGGCCAGTGTTTGAACAAAAAATAGTTTATTGGGGTTGGTTTTGGAGAGAAAAAAATGATATATGATTTGGGGGTGGTGAAAGTTATACAAATTGTACTGTAAAAATTAACTTTTTCTTACAGTAATAGTACAATAAAATTAATTTATTTTTAATTTTCATTTAAATAAAACTATTTAAAAAATTTTTTAAAAATGACCATTTTTTTAAAGGGTGGTGAAGAAATGCTTGTTTTATTCCATTCGTTGAAAACAAAATTAAAATTAGCTTATTTTTCCAACCACTTTTTTAATATTTGGATTCATTTCTGAAAAAAGTATAATTGCACTATCGGATTCATTGCCTGTTTTTGCATGGGAATCGATACCTCAATTTCACTAAAAATCGATTAGTGTTCACTTTGGAAGGAAGGGACTCACTTCGCTCGTTCAAGAAATTAATTATTCGACCTTAATGAACGTCTATCAATACAAATAGACGATCTAAGGAAGCAGTGCTTTGTACCTTGAGCACACTTTTTCTGAATACCGGTACTTTTTTTTTTACATAGATACTGGTACGCGAAATCATTTTCGGAAATTTCTCATTAACGATTCAACAACTGTCCTTCGGACGAGGCATCCCAGGACCTCTTGCACTCGTGGATCACACGACCCTCTGGATGTCTGCGGGCAGGGATCTCTGGCTGGTGTCGTTGACGCACATGCAGCCGATCGGATAGATAACCTTATCACTACGGGAGGAATTTCCTCTACGGTACTCCACTGTCAGTTGGGTGATGATCTCAGTGCAGGTGCATGTTCTGTTGTATCGCCCGTGCTCGTCCACGTAAGTGACCTGCGGCCGACCTGTAATCTGAAGAAATAACTTATTAGTGAAGAAGAACCAAGAAGATCACAATGTTGAAAATTCACAGAGAATAGTAAATGTCAAATTTAGTGATTAAGCTACATGCTAATTTATTTAATACATTGTTATAAACCTCTTTTAATAAAAACAGGTAGGTAATAGTTTTATTGTTCTTATCTGAACCATAAAAACGTATAATATATATATATATATATATATATATATATATATATATATATATATATATATATATATGTATATATATATCACTACGTATCAACAAATTACTTGGGAATATAATATTAAATGTAGAGGGAGATGTGTAAATATGAACACAGCTGTAAATATGACCAATTGTTTGATATAACATATTAGGGAGAGTATAGAACCTCTGTTTTAAGTAGTGCGATATCAATTACTCTTAGTTCTAGATTGGAAATCTCTGAGAGACTTGTGAAAAGTCATATAAACATGATTATATATCAAATATTTAAAAGGATGGCATCATTACATATCAACGATTCATCTTGGAATATAATATTAAAAATGAAGAGGAAGAGGTGTGAATATGTACACAGGTGTAAATGGTTCACTTGTTGAAATAGGATAAGAGGCAGTATATAGAACCTTTCCGTAGTGCGGATGCAGTATTAGTTATGGTAATCACTGTTGGTTCAAGATAGAAAATCTTTAAGAAGATAGTGAAATAGTTTTCTATTCATGTTTTTATGGCTAGTTTAAGACAGTACACTTATATCCGAAGATTTTTTAAACTGCTTTGAAGACAACGCCTCTGTTCATCCACGGATTATCCTTAGTACTCATGTGATATAGACTTAAGTCGAAATAGTGTAGTTATGGAAATATAAAAAGTCTGCTTAAAGACCGCTATCTTTTCCGAGAACTATAAACTCAGTTTCTCTCTTGGTTATATCCTCTGTCCATAAGATTAATAATTCGATCCACCGCTGGAGGATGCAAAGGATCAAGGGCCAACATAAACACTGGAATGACACGCTAGGATCAGGTGGCCAAGTTTCTTGAGGAAAGTGTTCTCAAGACCCCAAAGGCCTTTAGAAAACGAAACTTCAGCCCTGAAAGCCATACGATTCATCATCAAGCTTCTCCGAACCTCCACCCAGAAAACACACCATGATCTGGATCTTAAACATAGTGGTACACCACACTAGTGCGAAGAAACTTTTCTTTTGTGATAATACGTTACATGTGTTATGAGCCAAATGTGATAAAGTGTTAGTTTATAATTTTTGGATGGATGTTCATTTGAAATTCTCAATTATACAAGGTGCACTTTAAACCTTTTAAAAATTGTTTTATCCAGTATTAGAATATTTTTAACGATTTTTGGCAAGTACCCGTATTTTCTCTGATGCTCCCTTTAAATCTTGTTGTAAATCTTCGTTTTAGAATGAAAATAATTGATTTTAATTATTGTTTTGCTTCCCATCATTTACTAATATCGCTGTAGTTTATACATGGTATTAAAAAATCTTCAATTTATTTAAAATAAAGTAACCTAAGGCAAAAACAAAAGAAGATGATTACATTTACATCTTATCCAATAATACATTTTTACTTAAGATATAATTCTGAGTAGGGAAGTTATGTAAAAATCACAATGCGGAGTTGATAGAAACACTTTTTATTTTTTATAATTCAGTGTCTTGTTGACGGAACAACCAATATGGATTTGTAATTAAATCATCAAATATTTCTGAATGGTCTTTATTAACTCACTCTTTATCCAATTTTTTCATTAATTTTCGCATTGATTATTATTGTTAAAAACCACATATTTAGTCGACAGATTGCATAAAAAAATATAGCGACTACTGTTAAATCAATATCCAAATTATAATTAGCCGTATTGACGCTAACAAATCATCAATAAATAAAATGGTCCATTTGAACAATGAATGCAGTCTGTTAGGGTTTTTTATATTTAAATATTAGCCAAAAAAAAAAAAATTTAAATTAATATATAAAAATTAGTAGTTTCTTTGTTCACTTAACTAGGAGCAACAAGTATCACTAAAATTGCTTATTTTTAATTTCATTAATTATGGTTTGACAGACTTGAAATCCCGCGTTTAATGTCATGAATACATAATTTCACAGTTGTTGACTTTGAAAATGGTCTGTCTATTTGAAAACATTCTTCATCACAATCCTCTCAACTATACATTAAAACTATATACATTTATTAATTTAATATTTAACATTAACAAAATGAGCGTAATCCATTCTAATATTTTCAAAACCTTGAATATCTCTATCCAGTATGAAATGAAGTTAATAGAAAACAGCAGAATTTAAAAAAAAAAATCTTGATAAAGGGACAGAAATTCAAAACATGAATGTGATGCAGTGACATTCATGCATTGATTTTAATTAATGAAATATTAATATAATTAAATTATAGATCATTAGGAATAAACATCTTATATAATATAATTATGCATATAATTAATATAAAGTTAAAACATTTAAACACCATCCTTTTTTTTTTTTGTTAGAATTTTATAGAATTTTAATTGTAATAATTGTTTGCGTGAAATATATTATGTTAATATATATTGTTAATTCAAAAAATTCAAATGCTAAAATTATAAATATATTTCTCTTATTATTTATGTAATAATAAATTCTAATACTGATAATAAATAGATTAAAATATAATTAAACCATAATCGAAAATATTGTTCATGAAGATGGGTCAAGAAACGGGGCCGAAACACTGAGTAACGGAAAATGAAAAGCATAATAAATTTTTAAAGAATAATAAAATAAGCAGGGTTACTTTATGACTCTTTCTAATAAAATAAAAAGTGAATAAATAAATGAAATGAAATATATTATAAATAACAAAATAATATTTTATGCTTTAATAACAATAATAGTAGATGGTTCATATTTTATTTTTAAATAGAAGCATATTTATAGTATGAATTGAGGAAAATTAATAATTAAATTTAATTAATTATGTTTATTTATTTTTTATTTTTTGGATTCGAAGATAATTTATTGCGTTAACGTGATACTGTAGATGACGGTATTTAGAACAAAAATAACAACTTTTATGAAAGCTCTATTCAATAACGTAAAATTTTATTTAAATTATTTAATTCTAAAAAGATCTGAGAAAGACATCTGCCAAGAGAAGAAAGAAGAAAGGGGGCGTGTTCTGATATCATGAAGCCCGCCATCTTTAGTAGTGGGGGTAGCCCTTAGGGGGGTGGAGGGGGTTACTCCAGGTCACAACTGACCAATCTTATTTAAGGGAGGAGAACCATGGTTCTTTAATTTATTTAAAAGGGTCTATCTATTTTTTTCTGATTTTTTAAAAATATTCTTTGTAGACGTTTACGCAAAAATATCTACGAAAACCCAATTTTGTTTCACATTATAAATAACAGATTAAAATATCCTAATACTTTCTCTAACCAAAAACAAAACAAAAGAAACTAAAAAGTATTTTGTAATAAATAAAAAGGTTTACTATGATTTTTAAAAAATAGTTTAACATTTTTTTTTTGCTACACCTATTATCAAAACATTTTCTTTTTTTTATATGAACAAGCAATGGCATCACAAGAAATTAAACCAATAATTTCTTAATTGAAGATGTCCAACACTATAAAAAAATAATTTATATTCTTCAACACAGTTCAACAAAAAATGTTACCACTAAATACTATAGCGATATTATTGTCACTTTTCAGAATGGGGAAATCTAACTAAACCCTGAATGAAAAATTGCAAAAGTATATTGGTTCTACCAACTCTTTCCATACAGTAACTAAAATTACCTAGTATTAATAACTATTTTGCCTTAATTTCTATTCACAAAAAAAGCTTTTTTTTTTTTTCCACCAGTCTTGGTCTTGATCATGCAATTATTAGGCGGTCTTGGTCTTGTACTTTGCAATACCGAGACCGATTTTGGGAAAAACTAACTTTTGCTTATAATCTTTACATGCTATAATAACTTAACCTTCCTCCAAAAAACAATGTATATGCAATTTTTCATGACTGACACAGATACATAAATATATGTTTTTTTAATTAATTAATTGCAATATTTTACATTATATATAGATGATTACTGTTCATGTATATTTTATTAATCTTATTGTAGTAAATTCTATTGAAATATTTTTTTTAATTTTATTTTTATAAGACCAAAAACTTGCATGGTTATCATCGCCCATTTTCTTTGATCTTGATTACATTTTGAAATCTTGTAATCCTATGTTTTTTAAAAACTTGATTAATTTGTCATCAAATAATTGTGATATTAGGATATTTGTTGTGTTTACTTAATTTGCGTACATAAGCGTTGCAACTTCTAATTTATTTTTGACACAGACGAATAACACTGAATATTTTTTAAGGATCATATTATTAGAAATAATCGGAATTTCAGTTTCAAAAGAACGAAGAAAATACAACATTCTTATAGGTTTTCAATAATGTTCCGAACTGAACAACTATCAACATTTTAATTTATTTTAAGTTAAGTTGGGAAGAAGTAAAGAAGTAAAAAAAAAAAAAAAACATTTTCCCAATAACATGTCATTAGTTTTAAAATTCTAAAAATTTTATCGGTGAAGTGAACTGGAATTTATGCATCCATTTATGACCACAACTGAATCATATAATATGACTCATCAAGCTGACTTCAAAAGGAAGTTATAAAAAGACACAATATATTAATCATCCCCACCAAGGCTGTTCATTATATTATTTATTTAAATTAAAATTATTATTTGAATATAATATTCTAATAACCTTTAAATAATTTTAAATTTATTAAATTGCATTTTTTATATAGCTAGGCATAATTCAAAATCTAAAATAACAATTGTCATATTATTGATAACAAGTTTTTATTAAGAAAATTGTAGGAAAACACCGTAATAAGGGAAGAAAATTCAATAGCCACAATAAGGAAAAACTATTTCACTGAAGTACGGAAAACTTAAACAATAGTTTTTAAGTTTTATTTTATTAAGGCCCATTAGCTGTTCATTATTTATTCGCTGAAGATTTTGGATTTTGCTCCGATTTTCAGGAGCGTTTAGTCTTTTTTATAGTTGTATACTTGACATGACTCCTTGTTTTATATACTTACCTGTCTCTCACTCTCTCTCTCTCTCTCTATTATATATATATATATATATATATATATATATATATATATATATAGTGTGTGTGATATATATATATATATATATATATACACAGAATCGTTTTATTCATTATATTTAAAATGCATCTTCATAATTTAAGATTAACTTTAATGTGTCCTTCGACAAAATATCTTATAGAGGATTATTCGATTATAATAATATTTTATGTTTTTTTCCTATTGACTCATTTGTATCAAAGATAACAAATCTAAGTGTTAAAAAGGTATATAATATAAAACAATAAAAACAGCTAAATGATTTTGAAAATGGGTGACCCTCCAACTCAAACCGTTAACTAAATAAAAAAATGGAGAAGTAATATTAAAGAGTAACATTTCAACAAGTATAATTAAAAAACTAAATTAAGTAAATCGATTAATGTTTAGTATAGGTATTAATTTTTAATTATCATGCTAGATAGAAACAGTGCAGGCCTTAGGGCGGGGCAACCAGGGCAATTGCCTCAGGGCACTCGCCACTTGTAATAAACAAAATAAAATTTACAAAACGTATTGAAATAATTAATTTCAACATAATAATTAATTAATTAATAAAGTAACTGTATTAAGAAATGTTTAATGCAATAAAACTCAAATATTACCTAACATAAAACAGCTTAAGAAATAAAATATAATAAGTAAAATTAATTTAGTACCACGATTTGTGAATTATTTGTACAGGATTAATAACAATTTGCACCATATTTTTTTTTATTTGAATATACCACTCTCACACAATATATGAATCAGCGAGGATTACAAAAATAAATAAATATATAAAATAAATAAATAAAATAACACAAGCATAAGGGAAGCAAATAGATGTAATTCCTTATGACATGGAATTAAAATAAATTAACTGAGGAAGGTAATCGTGCATCCAGCTCATTTTCAAGCTTCTGGGTGTAAAAAAAAATAATGTATTCATGTAAATCGAAATGATCTAATAAGTACTTAGAAAAAAATTATTCCATCAGGATTGAATATTAAAACTGGTTAATATCCAACAATATCTTATTTTGTGCTCCATTTAAAAAAAAAAATGTCAGCAATGAGATAAAATGAAAATTTTATTAAAGCAAAAATCTAGAAAAAGTAAATATATAATGAAATTAGAAAATATTTGAGATAGTATAATTTTTTTTTATCATAATGTATACAAATTTTACTTTAATAAAACTTTGTCGTAAATTACATTAAGACAATAATAACAATGTTATTAAACAACTTCGATATCAAGCTATTAAATTCTAACAACTCTCTAAAATATCTTGACACAGTAACAATAATGATTAAATGTAATTTTCAAAATTATACTTTGTTTAAAGTTCTTGATAGTGGGCGTTCTAAGCTGTTTTTTTTAAATTTTTTTTTAATTATCTATCAAACTTTGTGTTATAAATGAATCGATTGCTAAGTTAGTTGATAATAAGGTATTATAAAATAAATGTTTTAAATTTAACTTTCTACCCTTATTTTTAACCTCATAAACAAAATCTTTCTTAGTGCGTTAAAGTCTCTTATTTCATTATATTTGTTTTAATTTATAAAAAAAATCAAAGTTAAATATTTTAATTCTAGAAAATTATAAACCATGTTTGAGGGATTATGCAGTTACGTCAAATGAAAAAAATTAAATTTAAAATATAATTTTCAAGCTATGAAAAAAAATTAATTTTTAGGCATGAATAGAATTCATTTTTTATTTTTTTTTATAATGTTTTGGCACAGTAATCTATTTCATTTTACAATTAAAGAAACATAAAAATAAATTTTAATATTTTTTCTTAAAATTATAAAAAAACAATAGTTAATTTCTTATTTTCTGTTGTAACATACATTGTATTTCAAAAATACAATATATATACTGCAATTGTTTATTTGCCGAAAATAGTAATGTAATTGCCCAAAAAACGAAAAAAAAAAATGTTATTGTTTCTTATTCCTTTTATTCATTACAAATGTCTTAATTTTATATAATTATTATTTAAATACTTGTAGATGTACTCGATGTAGGTGTTTATATTAGGAAAACTGGCTTATCGATTAAATGGGTATTCACATATATTAAATTATCTATAATACTATTTTAAAACAAGTTAAAAAATGTTTGTAAAAATCAATCTCACTCTTTAAATAATTTCTGAACAGTAATTAATTGAAGTAATTTATATATTTAATGCAATAGATAATATCTGTAATATCTATTTGATTAATCAATAGATGAACACATGTGAATACACAGTACTCATGGATGTAAGAAAACTGATGTCAACGTAATGAGAGAATCATAGATATTTAAATTATCACTGTTTCCAAATATTTATCATTCATTATTGATAGGCATAAATATTTAATTACTTTTTGAAACGAAATTATGCAATTTTGGATGATATAAGCTGTTTATTTCCAAAGTGATTTTTGATCCGATTTTTTGTAAATCGAAATAAGTATCGATTTCTAAATAAAACACCAAATGAATCAGGTCGTGCAACTGTTTTCCACAAACAGACCTTAATATTAAATGAATGTGATGTGATAATAAGTTTATTTCCGAAATCAGTTTTTTTTTCCAGGAGTGTAATGAAACATTTTCTAAGTAATTAATTAATTTGAGATGAAAACTAAAAATAAATTAATTTTATTGTACTATTATTGTGAATAAAAAGTTAATTTCATATACTACATCATTTTTTCTCTACAAACCGAACCCCCAATTAACTTTTTTTTTTGTTCGAAAACGGGCTTTGAAGTTTAATTCTTTTCTAAAGTGGTTTTATTTATTTTTAATTTTTTTTTTTAAACAACTATGAAATTATCAGTGATTACCGGATATATGTCCTATTAAAAAAGATTCATAATTTTTTTTCTCTCTAAATTTTGGTTTTGATATTACAATAGAAGAATAGAAAATATATATTTTTCGCTTTTTCCTGATAAATTGTCAATGATGCTTAGGGCTCTCTTTGGATATATAAGAATCAATTTCTCCATGGCGTTAGACATCAAGGAATAAATTGGATGAGTTTTATTTTATTTTTTTTTTTTGGTGAAATTTTTAAATTTTAGGCTAACCTGGCACTCGACCTTCTCGATGACCCTTGGTAAGCGGTGCTGGTCTACGTCTTGGCGGTACTTGAAGGGGCAGAGTGCCTTGTGTTGGGCTAGCTCCAGGAAGATCCGCTCTTCGGCGGCGAGGGATTTTCCGATCAACAGGAGTACGGCCAGCAGCATGTCTGTTAGCGGAAGGTAACACACCGTCGGCTATATATTACCTGTGTGGCTAGAGGGGGACGCGCCTGCGCTCGATTCCTAAATTCAATCACGCTACGCATAGTCGTAAATATTTCGTTCATCTTGCCGCGCGATAGACATATCGTAGTAAGGAGTTTTGTGGTGGGTAGGGTCAACGAACGTATATAAAAAATAAATAAATCTATAAAAAGAAAAAAAAGCCCTGAAATCGCTTAGGTGCCAGTTAGTAGGACCATAAATTCGATAGATAAATCCAAAGGTAAATATTTTGCAACAATAATTCACACAATGTAAAAAATATTAATAATTCTTATTTAACTATCTTAAAAAAATTATAAACGGGATAAATATTTTGTTGAAATTAAGTAAAAAACAAAAACTCAAGCTAATTCATATAATTGCCTTAAAAATAAATTACGTTCTGTTAAATGAATAAAATCAGACACAACTCAAAACGGAAAGTTAATTACGTAGGTTAATGTTTTCTTTCAAACTTTATATGAAATATCGCTTCGATATTCAAGACTGTAGTAGCTCAAAAATCAAAATTAAAACATAAATTTTAAGCCAATTGACACAACAGTCTTATTAAACCTCCAACACTTCAAATCATCACACAAAAAGGATTGATAAGTAGGTAAGGTTTTTCACTATACAGAAGTTAACCACAAATCACATTTTTAGGTTTTAGCAAAGATTTTATAAGAAGTGGTTAATAAATTAACAACTCAATTTTAAGACTCTTTATATCACTATCTTTAAATTTCGGAAGGCAACTAAAATCTATCAAATCAAATAAAATCATTCCAACTCTAGATATGCGGTATAATCATAAAATAATCCGAACAGAACATTAAAACGCATTAAAAAATAAATAGCTGAGCCTTTCAAATATATAAAAATATACTTTGATTAATTAACTTATTTTCTTACTATCGAAGCTGTTTTTTATATATAAAAACATTTTTTCACCGGTCATACTAAACTGGTGATAAATTTACAGTCTTGAATATGTTCAAGTGACTAAAAATGTGTAATTGCTAAAGACCTCTCGAAATAGACAGAATAGATTAAGTTTTCACAAAATAAAAATTAATCAGAAATCCGTTTAATATTTATTTTAATCTTGACTGTTTTTTTTTTTGTTTTTTTTGCCATTTCGCAAAAAATATTAACTTATTTTATGCGAAGTGGTAAAAAAAAAAAAAAAAGTGATCAATTTTTATATGTATGTTGACTATGGCCCTGACCAACTTTTTTTAAAAAGTATTTACAAACGTTATCAAAAACAATAATCACAACGATCTGTGGTATATTAATAGATCTTATATTTGGCAAGACTCAGAACGGATTGACAATTAGGTAGATACAGATTTTCAGTACGATGATAAATCCAAAATTCAGTTCCAATTATTTTAAAAATTCCAGAACTATCGACCTTAGTCAAGATGGTGTAGAAAGTGCCTAAAAATCTTTGCTAAACATCTTAAAAAATATAGATATCTTAATTTTAATATATCGAAAAAAAATCTATATTATACTGCTCTTAATACAGTATCGGGATTCTAAAAGTAATTTATGGTATATTTAATCTCTCACAAACATGTGGTATTAAAAGATTCGGACAAAAGACACCAAATGAACTAAAACAAAAAATAAACACTGGAAGATATAAAATACTTACAATTTTCGAAAACTTTATTCACCTTGATATATTTTAAGAACTCAAGATTATTATGGAATTTTTTGAAATAATGCTCAAACGAACATGGGAAGAACTCCGTGGAATGAGAAAATTTTGTACTCAGAGTAACTATTATAGGTTTATAAAATGGTTTGAATCATTCACTTAAAAGTTGATCCAACAAATATTTACTAAGTGGTTTTTTTTTTTTTTGTAATCAACCGATGATATCCAATCCAATATTGTTGCTCATGATTTTTTTTTTAAACATTTTGTTTTTAAACATTTAAACATTAATCACCTTTCAAATGATCATTTAGAAATTCAACCAAAAAATATATAATTATGGTTATACGATAGTAAATATATCTTTATAAATATATTTTTTTAATGAAATATTAAGGGCCTACAGTAAAAATATAAAATAAATAAGGAAGGAAATGGTCCGGGGTAGAGGTCCAAGGAGTTTTACTTAAAACTCAAGTGAATCAATGTGTTCTAAGTGAATCTCCTCGTTGAACACACCTCCCTGAAGAAGACCTGCAAAGTCGGGTCGAAACGTTGGCTTTTAATAAAATAGTTTTGTCACTATTTAGTCTATTTATGACCGCCACCCCGGACCGTCTCCTTCCTTAATAATACAACGGTCAACTATTAAGTATATAAAAAAATAAAAAGTGAAAACATTTATGAAGATTTTTGTAGAGGTATTTCTTTTTTTTGTTTTTTATAGATGAAGGAGAAATTTTACTAAAAACTTTTTTAAGCCCTCTTTTATTTAAGAAGATTCAATAACTATGAATAATAAACAAACCTCAACATATAATATATCAAGATAATATCTCCGGATTTTCATTGTAGGTAAAGAAAACCATGTCCGTTTTTGTATATGTTCAGCTGAGCCAATTTCGTTAACTTCGCGCTATTAAAATTTGTTTATTTGTTTTGTAGAAAATTTAATCACCTTTCAAATGCCTATTTAGAAATTCAACCACAAAATATATTATTAGGGTTGTACGAAAATAAATGTCTCTTTCTTCATATTTTTTTATGTAATATTAAGTAAGGGAGATGAGGCCTCCGATTAATATAAAAAAATAGAAAACATATATGCAGATTTTTGTAAAAAGTATTTCTTTTTTTGTTTTCTATAGATAAAGGACAAAGTTTACGAAAAACCTTTTTAGGTCCCTTTTTTCTTCAGGAGGATTCAAAATAATTATGAATAATGGACAAACCTCAACATAGAATATATTAAGATAATATCTGAACACCGGAGGTAATGAATACCATGTCACATTCTTGTATATGTACAGAGGGGGACAATTTTCCACAACTTTGAGCTATTAAAAATCTGTTTCTTCATTATTAAATAAAAAAAATGGAAATGGTGTCCTTTATATCCGGGGCGCAGATATATCAAATCGTTTTCCATTTATTACGAAAACAAAATTTTTAATATTTTTTTTATGAAATATTAAGTAAGGGAGATGGAGCCTACCACCAAAAAAAAAAAAAAAAATAGAAAATATATATGCGGATTTTTGTAAAAGTATTTCTTTATTGTTTTCTATAGATAAAGGATAAATTTGACGAAAAAAACCTTTTAAGTCTTCAGGAGGATTCAAAATAATTATGAATTATGAAAAAACCTTAACATAGAATATGTAAACACCGAAGGTAATGAATACCATGTCACATTATTGTATTTGTTCAGGAGAGCCATTTTTCCATAACTTTGAGCTATTAAAATTGGTTTCTTCATTATTAAATCATTTAATGAAAAAATGGACATGGTGTCCTTAATATCCGGGACACAGATATATCGACTCATTTTGAAATTACCAATGTCAGTTTTAACGATTTTGTATAATTTTATCCAGTGTTGCAAGATAATCAAAACTTTCAATGTATGCTGGTTAAGCAATCTACATGTATAATTTTGCCTACACTGCTTGTTTTTAATTATTTCAATTCAGATATATAATAATAATGAAAAAAAAAAGAAGACAAACAAGAAATAGTAAAATGCAACGGAATGAGATCACCGGTTGTAGCGGATATTTGCACCTGTTATCCTCTAAGGCAAATATAAGGAAGAGAGTACAGGACTTGTTTCTGGAAACGGAAGCTGGAAGCAAATGGATAAGAAATAATTTCTCGGAATAATTAACCTTCGGGAAATTATTTTATCCGTCAAAGTAACCCTAAGTTTATTCTACTGATACGGCGTTAAGGATAATAAAATTCCTATATGTGAATGATAATTGGGAATGATTAATTATATAAAATTATTGCTTGTCTCTTAAATATCAAACTAAATAAAATGCAATTATTTTATTGTATCATATATTATTTTTTGAACCAGTATACATTTAAAAACACAAAGTAACTAGACATTGACGACATCTTCGATGACGAATTTCAGATCCTTATCGTAACATTAGTCTAAGACAACTTTTTCACTGATTGAACTTTAATGCAAATTATAAGATTGACTATGAGGAAAAAATCTTTAGACCTTAGATTATTAGTAGGTGAGATCATGCGTTACTCACAAAAAAAAAAAAAAATAATAAATAAGAATGATCAATAAGGGTTCAATAAATCTTATATTATGCTGTTCTACTACCTTAAAAAACTGTACGATATTTGGGTCTCCACTTGAACAAACGATTAACATGAACATACCACATAAAACAAAAAAGAAAAGAACTTAATCAGCGATACTGAATTCTTTCTAGGCTACTTGACAGACGTTCTAAATTATATGTGACTAATAAATTAACTATTTGCAAAGTCCTCATTAAACCACTTTGGACATATGGAATCGAACTATGGGGAACAGCAAAGAAATCAAACATAAAAATCATCCAGTCAAAACTCCAGTATACATGAGACAATTGTAGACGCACCCTTTTATGTTTCAAACTTTACGTTACACTCTAGCCTTAATACTCCTTTCAGCACGGCAACTGCCACTGACCACTTTAATAATTTTCATGACAGACTGAATCTAAATTCCAATCCACTTACTCAAGCTCTATCGACTGCTACAAATCCATATAATCCGCCCAGAAGACTGCTGAGGCGCTGGCCAAGAGACTTATTGCATTGAGCTACTTACTGTATTATCTTTTTTGTGTGTGTTATTCTGTTATTATGTATTTGTTATTTTACTACTGTTTTTTTTTTTTGTTTTTTTTGTCTTTTTGTTTTGTTATTACTATACTTTTTTTTATGCTATAATTTATTCTCCTTGATATCATATTTGCTGAATACCGAGGTAGATGGC